CTTTCTGCCCTCCCCAGGTTATAAACTCCCACGGGGTAGGGATGGTCTCTCAATTATAGTCACATTTCTTGCACCTGCCATGGAGCAGGCACTCTGGAACGGACCTGGAAGTCACACAGAGCATGCGCACCAGTGATGAGGCAACACTTCTATTTTTTTTTTTAAGATTTATTTATTTATTTGAGAGAGCGAGAATGAGAGAAAGTATATGAGAGGGGGGAGGGTCAGAGGGAGAAGCAGGCTCCTCGCTGAGCAGGGAGCCCGATGCGGGACTCGATCCCGGGACTCCAGGATCATGACCTGAGCCGAAGGCAGTCGCTTAACCAACTGAGCCACCCAGGCGCCCGAGGCCAACACTTCTAGATGCACCTGTGTGCCCACTGCTCTGATACGTGATCTCGTAATGCTCACTCAAGCAGGTATTGTTATGATGGCAGACAGGCTCCGAAAGCTGGGCCACGTGCTGTCCAAGGCAGATTGGGACTCGAGGCTTCCCTGCTCCCATGCGGCACCCGGATGAACACGTTGCACTGTGGTGAACATCCACACCCCTCTGCCGCGTCCATGCAGTGCATGTGTGCACACACATACCTCTACCTGCCTGTGTCTTAGAATCACCTGGGAGCTTTGAATAGACCCACGCTGGGGCCCAGCTCTCACAAATTATATCAGAGTCTTGGTGTGGTGGTGGTTGTGGTGGGGGGGCAGGTACTGGTGTTTTCAAAAGCTCCCCAGGTGATTCCAGTTCAGGCCCCACGCCCCCAGCCAGAGTAAGAAAATGGACAGACCTCTGGGAAGGCGCCTGGGGGCTATTTTGACTGTTGGTTTCTGCTTCTACGAACTTCTCTTCTCACTCAGTGAGCTCCGGACCACCTCCGCGCTTTTGAAGGTGAGGAAGGGCTCTCATCTCTACGTGGCCATGGTCTCCGGGTGCCTCCTGTCTTAGGGTATTTATGACGGCATGGGCTGAAGTTCTCCCTTTGGGCTGGGTCCCCCTTGATGCAGCTGGCCTGAGCGTGCTGCAGGCACCCTAAGAGGTGAGCCTCCCACAAAGGCAATCCCAGTTGGCCCATGTGAGTGTGTCTCTAGGAGCCGAAAATGAGGGAGTGCTTTCCACTCGTATCTATTTAAAAAACAGACTCTTCAGTCTTGAGCAGCGGTAGGTTTGTTGAGGACAGGAAGGCCAGTAGACCAGTGGTTCTTAAAGCGTGGTCCCCTGAGCACCATCAACATCACCTGGGAGCAGGTTCGAACGTAAATTCCCAGTCCCCTCCCCCCCGCCCTGGACCCCCGAGGTGTCATAAACTCTGAGATTGGAATGCGGTGGTGGTGTACTCCGTGTGATTTTGCTGCCCCTGAGGTTAAGGAGCACAGCTCGAGATTGATGGTGAGTACGTGGGTGGACTCCTGGAATAGAAGTGGTTTTCTGTCCTAGTTGGGCATCCAAGACGCCTGGAGTCTTACAGAATCTCTGGTCCCTGGGTCACCTCTCAGTGTCTGGGGGGCTGTGTTTTTAACAAGTGCTCCAAGAGATTCTGAAATGCAAGTTGTTTTTTTTTTTTGAATCGTGGTAGTAGAGACCTGATAAATATTGCATTCTTTTAATAATAACTTCATATCGACTTGGCACAGGGTGAGGGCACTTTACCTCCTGGAGTTACGGCTCCTTCGTCTCTAATTACCAAGACGTTTTTCATCAGTCCTGTTACCCATTAAGTAAAGACAGTCTTTCCGTTTAGCACGCGTCTTTCGCATTGCTGGATTGTTCCCTGCCACATAAAAGCCACAAGTGGGTTTTATGGCCTCATGCATACTTAATTAGTTCATCTTCTCAAAATTGTGTTTTAAGTGAGTGAAGACATTAGCCTCTGATCGAATTGATCCACAAAGCGTCTTTTCAGAATGCTTGCACAGCCCAATGCTTGATTCAGAGGCATCCCTGGGGCTTGTCAGGTCACAGGTCAAGGAGGTGCAGACCCTACGACTTCCTGTCACCCCTTGTGGATTGCTCTGCAAAGAGCAGGATTGAGGCAGGACAAGAGGGGTTGCAGGCACAGACGTCAGCTCACTCTAGAAGAGCTGATTATATTTTGTTTTGCCCACAGCTGTCTCTATCCCTGCCGTCCTTATCTGTCATCATAACCATCCACACCTGTGTGATATTTTATGACAGGTCACACCTGCTGGAGCAGCACTGTTGTCATGTTTCAGATATGCCGCCTAATATGTATGTCATTAAGCCTCGTGGCAGGAATAGAAAACGGCTTCTGTTCCAACCCTTCCCACCTGCTACCATCCCGCTTCTGTTGTCCTTGACCTCCTGTGGAGGTCACCAGGCTGCGTGAGAGGACTCTAGTGCCTGGATATATTCCTGCTCCCTTCCTGCACCCAGCCTCTTCTGGGCATCTCTCAAGGCTCAGCACAAAAGCTGGGGTGAAGCCTTCTGGAGCCCCCAACCTCCCAGGTGGATAGGCTGTCGTCTTCACTCCCACGCAGCTTTACTTATTACAAGCCTCTGCTAGAGCGCTGGTCCCATCATGCTTTTTTGGGTGTTACAAAGGAGCGAATAAATGAAGCCTTTGTTTTTCCTACCCAGACCTTCCAGAAAGAACTTCCTTGGGAGTCTTTGAAAGCCATTTTAATGAGACCAGACCGGCTAATAAATTTCTTTTCTTGACAGTTGCAGATACTTGGTGTTTGAGAAATAAGCTAGCCACATAATGAGGGCTGACTGAGTTGCGAGCTGGCCTTGACTTGGTTAGAAAGTGCAGTGGGAACGGGAGTCAGAATTGGAATGTGGGCAACAGAGCGGGTCCACAGATGTCCTGTCGCCAATACCAGTGTTAGAACGCTGCTCTGCCGAGCTCGCCCTGAACATCTGAACTCTTAAGCTTTTCCCAAGTGCTTCCAATCTGAAGGTAGCTTTGAGAACCACTGGGTTGAAGAAGGCTGTTTCAACGTGTGGGGTTGAAGATGAGGTTGGGAGGAATCACCTGGCTTCTCTGTTCTTTTTCTTAAGGTACATAGAGACCTGCTAATCCTTACAGGTATAGCTGTGTGTGCACATGGTCGGAGGCTGTGGATCGTGGATTTTGACAACGGGGCATGGATTTACACGTTTGGTGGAAGGCTAGATCCACATAACTCTCCTCCTTCCCATTCCTTAGCAGCACACGGCCCAGAGTCTCCGGAGATAGAACTCGGCTTCCACAAGCCTCAAATCCTGTCCATTTCTCTTGCCACTGTACTGACTTTGCCTTTCCTCTCTCTTATCTCGATAATAGTTTGCTGGCATTCCTCTCTCCACTCTTCTGTTGGTCCATTTGCCACACAATGGCCACACCCAGCATCTTTTGCTTTGATGTTGCCCGATGCCCACAGATAAATGACAATGGTTATAGATAGCCCTTTCCAGCATTTACTCCTGTATGTTGTTGACTCCTGGCTCCTGGCACTCCTATCCCCATTTTATAGATGGGAAAGTGAAAGCATAGGTGAACGGTGCAAGGTCATAGAGTCAGGATGGCCCCAGGCGTTCTGGCTCCGGAGTCCTGGCTCTGCACCCCTCTGCTTTGCTTCCTCTCCCTACACTCTCCTGCCAGGAAGGGAAAGGCAGGTCTGTGCTAGTGGACCTTTCATTATTTCCAATTTTCTTGTACATCCTGCCCGGTTGATGTTCCTATTCCTGCTTCGCAGAAACCAGGGCTTGGGACAGGTGAAGCAACTTGATCGACATTCTAGAGCTAATTAAGGGAATAATAGCTGGGATTCAAACCAGGTGTTCCTCTCTCCGTGCTCTGCATTTTTTCCACCACACTGCGCGGGATTGCCTAATTTCTTTAGGGTGGCATCTGTAGCTCTTTAGAATCTGTCACCAATTCACCTTTCCAACCATTTTCCATTCCTTTATTAAGTCATGCCACCAACTTTTGCTCACACTGTTGCCTTAACCTGGAATGTTCTTCCCTGCCCAGCTAGGGCTATCGGACCTCCCGTGATGATGGGGACTCTTACCTTGCTGGTGATACCCTGTGTGGAACCTGCATACAACAGGAGGGAGAGCTATTTGCATTTTCTCTCTCTAGCTCAAAAGCCCTAATATAATGCATCTCCTCTTGACCCCCCCCCTCCTGTGATGGATGGCTGCAGCATGAATATAATATCCAGTCACTTTGTGATAGAGTTGTGCATGTCTGTCTGCTAGGTGGCATCTTAAGGACAGGTGTCCTCTCTTCCTTTTTTTCTCTGTGTGGGTGTGTGTCTAGGGCATTGCCAAGCCACTGTAGAGGTTTAATATTTGTTAAACAGATGAAGGGTGGACTAGAATACAGAGGTGGGGAAAGTCTTAAAAATATTCCATCCAAGGGACTTTGGCAGGGCTGCAGGGCATAGAACAGTCGGGGATGTATTTATTTGAAGACCTAGGGAAGTGTATGTTGGAAATTTCCAGAAGGAAACAGAGCTAATGATTATCCCAGTGAACTAATCTAGCATGTCCATTTTTCCAAGTAGGGTTTTGTTTTCTTTTCTTCAGGTATGCTTTGCCAACCTCCTAGTAAAAATTCCCTGGCCCCCTGTGCCCTCCCAGCATGGACTTTCTAAATAGGGTGTCGTTGGGAGCGTGTGAAAATGGACTTCAGGGCTTTGCGCAGGACACCTGAGCCCTAAGGGATGGTGGCCGCCTGTGGGGAAGGAGAAGTTGTGTTTCCCAAATACAGGCAGAACCTTTCAGGATGGAAGCAGGTGCCAAGAAAACACTTCCCTGCTATTGGGAAAGTTAATTCTTTAGCCATCGAATTAGGGTTGTCCTACTAAGTAAATATTTTTTGGACTCTTCAGGTTTAAGTCCCTTGTCGCAGGCGCCTTTTGCATCCTGGTCCTGTAAACCCCGCTGAGGGGCAAGGGCGGGGCCCGCAGGTGCACCGCGAGGCCGGAGGGGGGCTGCGTCCCGGGTGGTGTGCGTTCGCACTGGCCTTGAGCTTTCCTTTTGCACCCCGCAGGTGAGCGTCCTGACCACCCTGGAGCGGAGGTTCAACCTGCAGAGCGCCGACGTGGGCGTGATCGCCAGCAGCTTCGAGATCGGGAACCTGGCGCTCATCCTCTTCGTGAGCTACTTCGGGGCGCGCGGGCACAGGCCGCGCCTCATCGGCTGCGGCGGTATCGTCATGGCCCTGGGCGCGCTGCTGTCGGCGCTGCCCGAGTTCCTGACCCACCAGTACAAGTACGAGGCGGGTGAGATCCGCTGGGGCGCCGAGGGCCGCGACGTCTGCGCCGCCAACGGCTCGGGCGGCGATCAGGGCCCCGACCCGGACCTCATCTGCCGCAGCCGGACCGCCACCAACATGATGTACTTGCTGCTCATTGGGGCCCAGGTGCTCCTGGGCATCGGTGCTACCCCCGTGCAGCCCCTGGGCGTCTCCTACATCGACGACCACGTGCGGAGGAAGGACTCCTCGCTCTACATAGGTAGGAGCTGCGGCCGTGCCCGCGCGCTGCCCTGGGCTCCATGCTCTGTTAGTAACCGGGGCGCCTTGACAGAGGAAGGCCAGGTGGGCCCGTGAACTTTTTATGGTTCTCAGACTTGGCTGCACATCTGCCGGGGGTGTGTGTGGGGTGGGGGGGGGGAGGGGGGGGACTTTGAAAAATGGGGATGCCTGAGTTGTACCCCCAAGAAAATCCAGTGTAGTTGGCCTGGGGTGCCACCGGTATGGATTGCTTTTTTGAAAAAGTCTCCCCAGGTGATTTCAATGCACAGTGGAGGTTGAGGTTGGCTTTGCTAGGACATTAGGAAAGCTATGAATGGGAAGACATGGTCAGGATGGGTTTAACGTGTATTTACCTGCTTTTCACGTGTGTGTGGACTTTGAGCTCTCTGGCGTTAGCCACCAAGGTATACTTGGGGTCTACACCTTGGAAACCCCAGTTTTTAATAATCGAAATGATCATCTGGTCATTGTCCTGTTGAAGCTCAAAGGGGTGAGAGATGATTGTCTTTCCAGCATTTGGTATCATTCAAAGTTGGTGACTTCTGGTAATTCTGCAATGAGGGTATACACGGGAGCTGGATATTTTAGGAAGGAATAAGGTCCATGTGAGTTGTTCAAAAATTATTTTGCATCCTAGCTTCTGATATTTTCAACTGGCAAGATGGAAGCCATTCATGGGTCTAAGGTTAAGCAACCTCGAAGTGTGAGTTTTTCTTACAACAAACGGGGGTCCTCTGTCACTGCCTTGGGGCAGTCGTATGGCCATTTGTAGGGTGAGGGCCTGCCGATCATCTCCGTCCCCTGTTCACTAAGTAATTTGGCCTCCCACAAACAGTTGGGTTGTAAAGACCTATCCCCACTCACTGAGTGCTGAGCTTTGACAGAATTACCTCTTCCTGTGGAAACGTTTTGCTTCCTGGAGCACTGTTAATTACCATACAAAGGTTTAGGATAAAACAGAATTTGAACAGAATGTGACCTAAAGCTTTGTACCTGTTGAGTTTCCACCATGCACTGCCCAAGGTTTCTGAGCTAGGAGGGTTTGGAATAGTTATACGCTTCCATGCTGAGTTTCCTCAGTGGCTTTCTGTCCCACCTATGGAGTACATGCTTTTGTTGGACAAATACGTTGCAACTGTAGGTTTCCTGTTCTTTGAGAACAGACTTACGGTGAGAAAAGTGAAGAGTGTATGCCTCTCTATAAAGGGGTAGATCACCTGGAGCCTGGTCGTGACTTAGCTTCCACTACGATGTGGAACCCAACATCCAGAAGATATCCCAGGCTGAGGCCAGGCCCTCTCCCCATGTGGTCCGGGTGGGTATTAAAGGTACTAAGGACATCATTTACATTTTATTCTTTCTTAAGCTTGAGCAACAGCCACTCCATGTGAGTCTGACACAGACTAGGACATGGGCCACAGCATGGAGCCAGATAGCTTCCTGAGGTCCATTCAGATCGTTGGTCTTGGACTTGACTGATGTCACCCTAGACCCTGGGAGAGCTGTTTTCTGGTAGTAGTCATAGAAAGTACATAAATCAAAGCACAGAGAAGGAAGTGGGGAATGAATAGCCAAGTTCTTGTCTCTGATGATAGAATCCAGCAGAAAAATTCCTCCCCGGAATCCTTTCTCAAGTCTTGTCAGTGCTGAATCACCTTGGCTTGGGACTTCCTGCCCGGGGCAGCAGGCCCAGAACCTGCTTCTGGAAGTCTTCCCTGCTGAGTTAGGTCATGGTCTTTCCCTGCAGTGGGCGGGACCTGGTTTGTGTGTGCAAAGCTTTAGGGTGAGGAGGTGCTTTGGTTTTGTGTGTGGCAGGTGGACGCATGGGCAGTAGGGCTGACCGTTAAAGGCAGAGGGCCTTCTCCAGTTCTGAGACCATGGGATTTGCTGTGAGTCTTTGTTAGGAAGAATGTTTCAGGCAAATTTCTACTTGGGTGCCATTTTTTTCTCTTCTGTGATAGTTAAACAGAGTTGGAAATGTCTGTCTGTGTGGCGCATGGACCTCGGTGCTGGTCCATCTGGCAAATTCCAAAACATGACCGTACACACCTGTTGAGATGGGCTCTCTGAGTGCCTCTGAACTGGTTTCATGGGTACGTGTTTACAGGGAGAAGAAAAGAGTAAGCCTTCTGGGGGAGATCAGCTCAATATGTGGTCTTACTATCCCGTGCATGCTTGGGATTCTCCAGGAGCGATTTAAGAAGACCACAGTATATGCAGAGTATAACTAGTTCACTCATTTATCGTACAGGACATAAAATAATGTTTGTGATCACAAGAATATTGTAGCATTTATCTCCTCTAATGGGGAGCTAGTTCCTGAAGCCACTTAAAGCTTTGGGCAGTATATGGGGGAACCCACTGGAAGGGACTGCTGCATTACAGCCTTTTATACCTGCCTGCAGAGAGGAGGAAAGTCTGAAGGGACTGGCGCTGGGACTGTTTGTGTAGATGCGTGTCCATTGGGGTGGAATAGCCTGTGCGTCCCCTGCTTCCATCACCTGTGAAGCTGGTGAAGAGCAAGAGGCCCACAGCCAGCCATCTGGCCATATGCCGAAAACGTGAGTGTGGGTTGAAGATGGAAAAGATGATCAATACCTCCTTTGTCAACCACAGACTTGTTCACAGCTGATCCTTTCCTCTGGGTGTCCACAGGCTGTTGTGGACAAGACCTGCCCCTGGGGTGTGCGAGTCCTGGGTCCCCAGTCTCGGGGTGTGTGCGCTCCTGAGTGGCCATGTCATGGACCCTAGAACGAGGGGGACATGGAAGCCTTCCATCTCAAGTCCAGCCGATATTGTCCACTGAAATGACTGTTGGCTTTGGACGGTTGTGGCTGGACCACTGCCAAGCTCCCGAGTTCCTGGATGGGCCGTTCCCCAGGGGCTTCTCTGGCTTGCACCGTTCTGCAGCTGCCCCTTTCCAGCATGGGGAGGGAGCCAAGGGAGCTGATTACCAGGGGACAAAAGCAGCTGAATGGGGACATGGCTCTGCTGGCAGGCTTTTCACAACCATATGACGTGGAGCCAAGCCTCACCGAGCAGCTAGACAATGACCTGTGGGTGGCACGTGGCACTCTTTCTTCCGAGCGGGACTGATGGGGCAGCGTGGCAGTGGAGACTGTTGTATGTGAGGCATGACCAGGGTCCAAGAGTCACCCCTTTGGGAGTCTCCTCAGTGAGCCTCTGGCCCATGATGTGACCTCCCATGAGCTCCGTGTTCTTAGCTGTTCTGTTTCTCCAAGTTCAAAACCTGGCCTGTCGTATTGTAGGCGAGGGTAAGTAGGATAATGTGATGGACTCACTGTGTCCCTCATTAGGTTGACTGTAACCTTGTTCTCTTTGAGGAGGAAAAAGGTGAAACGAGAGTGGTAGAGATTTTTTTTAAATAACTTTATTCCTAGTTAAAAAGTATGACATAAAAAGTATGTCACTGTTGACAACTTTGGAAGTATGAAGAAAGAATAAAGAAGCACTACTCTTAGCTTTATGATTATATAATGTCTGTATTTTCTGCGTTGGTATGCTTTTCTACCAAAAATGTGTTTCGGGGGCGCCTGGGTGGTGCAGTTGGTTAAGTGTCCGACTCTTGGTTTTGGCTCCGGTCATGATCTTGCAGTCCTGAGATTGGGACCTGTGTGGGGCTCCACACTCAGCAGGGAGTCTGCTTGAGAGTCTCTCTCCCCCTCTGCCTTGCCCCCCACACTCACTCGTGTGTGCGCACGCTCTCTCCCTCCTCCCCCAAGTAAATAATCTTTAAAAATGTGTTTATAACAAACATCTCTCTCAGTATTTGATGCACATTGTCTCATGTTACTAAATAGTCTATGGTGCTACTGCTGTAAACCTAACATTCTCTTGGGGATCCGTCCTGTGATGTTTAATGCCCTCTCTTGTTGGACATGCGTTTTTTTTTTTTTAAAGTGTTCGCTGTTGTAAATGAGACCGACAGGGACACGATTCTGAGAGGTTCAGGGACTTGCCTGAGAGAACTTAGCTGAATGGAGCTGGACTCCAGGTCTGAGGGCGGGGGTTTCCCGTGTTCATCTGGGATCTGTCACAAGGCTGGGGTTGTGGGGAGAGGGCCAGTGGATGGTCCAGGGGGTTAGGTACAAGTCAGGGCATTGCACAAGATAGCGTGAAGGCTTCAGGAAATAAAAATCACAGAAGCCAGCAAGGAGGAAAGCACGCAGGGTGCCTCACAGCTGAGGGGAGAGGTGGGATCGGAATGAGGAGTGGGTGTCACAGCCCGAGATGTGGGAGGAGGAGGGAGAGGGGAGGGTGGTCCAGGCTAACAGTCCAGGGTGGGCTTCTGGAGCCTTCTCCAGGGTGGGTGCAGATTAGAGCTGGCCCTTCTTAGGCAGGGGCAGCTGGTGTATTCCGCCTTCTGCTTCCCTGTCTCCAGCAATGCAGGGGCCCTCCCCTCACATGGCTCTTCATTCCCTTCTTTTTTTTTTTTTTTTTAAGATTTTATTTGACAGAGACAGCGAGAGAGGGAACACAAGCAGGGGGAGAGGGAGAAGCAGGCTTCCCGTGGAGCAGGGAGCCTGATGCGGGGCTCAATTCCAGGACCCTGGGATCATGACCTGAGCTGAAGGCAGACACTTAACGACTGAGCCACCCAGACACCTCTCTTCATTCCCTTCTTGAACCATGATAGCCATTAGGCACTTATGCTTCTGTTGTGATAGAAATCTGGCTCCTCACAGCTTCCCACATGCTGCTTTTGGTTCTGCCCCATGGGCTCACCCCGAAAACTTGCATTCAGTCTTCTGTGTTGTGATAACTCCCCAGATAGTGGAGCACCAGTCTCGCATGGGTAGGGAAGGGTTGGTTACCTGCTGCTTAGCTCTTCTGTGCCAGGACCTTTGTTCCTTCCTCGATGTGGTTTCCTGCCACACTTGAGAGCCACCATTTCCCTCTTAAAGGTGGATGCCACGGGCTCAGGAGCTCCTTACCAGGGGACAAAACCAGATGACTGGG